ATCCTTGTCTATGTCGGATATGAGGATGAGGAACAAGATGGGAGCGAGTACTGTGCCTTGTGGAACAGAGCTTTTCACCGTAGCTGCCTCGGACTTTACTCTGTTGACGACTACTCTCTGTGTTCTGTTAGTGAGGAAATTATAGATCCATCGACCGACTTTTCCTGTTATTCATTTAGCACGCATTTTGTGCGCTATTACGCCATGGTCACACTTGTCGAAGGCTTTTGCAAAGTCTGTATATATTACATCTGCATTCTTTTTATCTTCTAGTGCATTTAGGACCTTGTCGTAGTGATCCAATAGTTGAGACAGACAAGAGCAACCTGTTCTAAACCCATGTTGCCCTGGGTTGTGTAACTGATGGGTTTCTAGAAATTACGAAAAGCCTATTCCCCGACCTATTAAGACGATATAAAGTGTTATCTCCTAATAAAGAAACTGCAGTGAACACGACTGGTATACAGAGTTATGAGGAATCCTTACACAAAAGAAAGAGTGAAGGGGAAGCTATGGTTCTTCCACCTACTACTACCACTTAGACTGAGGGGTCACGTTTCAATATCTCTTTCCAGTACTTGTCCGAGAGGTGGACTGTAGGTACCGGGAGGTCCCCACCACTGCCCAACTCTCTCAAATCCGAATAGCGGTTTCTGCAACCTTCGGGAGAGGCCTCTGAGTTACGTCCCAGCAGTGATTAAGAGAGAAAAAGGCCTGAGCTTGCTACCACCTGCAGCTCATAAGACTGCCATCCCCACGAGCCCCTTTGGGGCGGGGCAGATGGCAGACCAGAGGCCTAGCTTCTCCCTACGAGCCCCGTGAGGGCGGGGAATGTGGCTAGGCCTGGGGACAGTTGGTCCCAAAGATGAGGGGGTACTTGTACCTCCTCCCATGGGAGACTTAAGTCTCGAGACACTCCCCAGATAGGGAGCCAAGGCCGGGTCACCACTACTTGGAAAAGACCCGGGCCGGGAGAATACCGGCGAAAAAAAAAAAAAAAAAAGCAGTGATTAAGACTCATTGTTTGCTCCTGCTCACAATGGTAAAGACACGCTAGCCCTGGAGACAGGAATTTTCCTTGCCTCTTCCTCTAAGAATAGATATTCTTCAGTCAATTGGTGAAACTGAGATTCGACCGAGACTTGGGATATTACCTTTATCTAATTCCTCCAGACCTGTTATTTCTCAGTCTAGAGCAGAGACTGGGACCCTACCTGGGTACCTATGGAAGGAGGAAGAACACAAAGGCACAGTACCCTGACTAGAGCAAGCAATACACAAATAACCCGCACAGAAAGAAACATTATGACTACGACTTGGACCATTAACTAGTTAATGGTCCAAGTATGACCGAAAGGTCGTCATAAGTTTTTTTCTCCTATGTGAGGGTTATTTGTGTATGATAACCTCACATCCATTGCTTAGTTATGTGGCTGCTTTGTGACACGGAGTTGTATCTATCTCAACTCTGTGACTGCTTGGTGTGGGGCTGTGTGTCTATATTGCCTGTGTGACTGCTTGGTGTTTAGTTGGGTATGCATCTTACCTGTGAAGTTGTGTCCATATCTTACCTGTATGACTATTTTATGTGAAGTTGTATCTTACGTATGCTAAGAAGAAATCTGGCATACTCCTTCGTATAGGAATGTGTACATCTCATCTTTCTAACTGCTTGGTGTAGGGTTGTTTGTAGGGATGTGCCAGACTATTGATATCGGTGAGTATCAGTCATTTTTACTCTAGTGGTATCGATATTGGTGAAAAGGTGGCCAGTACCAGCCGATACATCTAAAATATTAATATTGTACATGGACTTTAAAACATAGTTAAATTCACACTTAACCTCACCATTACGAGACTTACTTATCTACACTCACACTAACACAATACATACACTTCAGCTGGTTACCCATGATTGTATTCTGGAGGAGAGAGTAGAAAAAGACATCACTGTTAACTGTAGGTAAATATTCATCCACTACAGTCACTTTCATCATGCCAGCAGTAAACAAAAGATTCTTCAAGGACAAAAACACGAACACAAGCATAAGCTTATTCAGAATGTACCTACCTATTGGGAAAGCTCTTTATTTATTGCTAGATTGCATCTGTGAACAAAAAACAGCCATTGCAATATGTTGCTTAGATAACACACACATTTACCATTATTTGATGGAAATAAGTGTAATCTTATTGCCAATTAATCTTCTTTATTGAAAATATTCCGCAAAAAAAGCGCAGTGAAAGAAAGTGTGTGGTCTCAGAAACACTACCCTAAGTACAATATTTGAAACATTTCATCAGCCAAGCTTTGAGTGATGCAGGATTCTCAGGTTTTGGTAGCACACTATCATCTCCCATATTATCATTGTTGCTGATGGTCATGTAAAACAAACCTTGACAATATAACGACTGAATTGAAAGAAACTCAGGAACTCAGGAGAGAATTCAGCAACTGAAGAACTCAAGAGAGCGCTGCTGGTCTGCTAGCAGCATCAAGCAACATCGAAATGAGTAAGATATGCACTTCATTTATTTTTATTTCCGAAACGTTTTACCCACAGGGGGTTCTTCAGATCTGAATAATGCCTGAAGGATGTTGTCAGGGGACGGTGTTCCCGCGGCCCGCTGCCAATCCAGGCCTCCCGGTAGGTAAAGTCCCTGTCAACCAGACTCTTACTGCTAGCCGCACGCAGTCTAACATATAAGTCACAGCCCAGCTAGTCAAGAACTGATCTGAAGAACTTGTGAAGTTTCCTCTTGAAGACAACCAGAGCTTTGTTGGTAATTTTTATTATGGAGGCCTGGTCAGGGACTGGTCAGGGACTGGTCAGGGACTGGTCAGGGACTGGTCAGGGACTGGTCAGGGACTGGTCAGGGACTGGGCCGCGGGGCGTTGACGCTCGGAACGACCTCCAGGTATGCACAAGGGCGTTGAAAAGTCAAGGACCTTCGACACTAACGAAGTTCTCTCTTAGTGTACTCGTCGCGTCCCTGTTTTTGTTTGACGTATTTTGCACCGTTTGCCACATCTCTTGCGTTCATGCAAAGTGAATTTGGTTACGTTCCAAGAAATACAGTTGAAGAGACTTTAAACATTTTCAGCAATTTCGATGTTTAATTGAATATATACGGGCAGAATTGGCTCAGCATCCCTTACTTTGAAAATTCTAATTATTCACCCTATCATTTTCCTTGCACACAGAACTCTCGCTTTACTAAATTGTTCGATTTTGTCCAAAATTTAGTTTCACTCCTTATTTCCTCTGTTCTTCTGCAAGGCAACTAAAACTTGTATTCACTGTAAGTCTTTATATCCTCTTGAAGATTCACTGTGTCTTCGAATATAGAGGTGAATAAAAGTAGTTATGAGGTGGTCAGTTCCTCAGCCATGAGAAGTGTTCTTCTTAAAAGTATAACAGATAAAACACAAACAGGTAGTAGTAAACAGATCAAAATCCAGCATTAGCACAGTAAAAAGTTTTGTACCCAAAGGCACAGATGTGTTTCTTATTTTTATAAAAGACATAGAAAAAACACTTATCATAGTTTTGTATCATCATTTGTGGACGATAGTAAAATAAGCATCAAAATGACCTCAGTAGAAAACGCACAAAAATTCCAAGATAAAAACGAAGAATTTATTCCAGTGATCAGTGGACAATAATATGAAGTTCAACGGTGATAAGTTTCAACTACTTGGAAATGGAAAGAATGAAGAACTCAAAAGGGACACTGCATTCAAAGCCCAAGATGGTTATCAAATACAGCGAAAGGAACATGTGAAAGACCTTGGAGTAGTTTTGTCGGGCGACCTTTCTTTCACTGCTGGTGAGAAACAGAGAGAGAGCTGATAATATATGTGGAAAGTTATAGAGGGCCTTGTCCTAAATCTTCACTCTGCCATAACATACTGGAGTGAGAGATATGGGAAAAAATATACAATAAACTCAGTGGAAAGTAGTGGCGCCGTATCCACAATAAGAGAACATTGTATCAACATCTACGCTCCAGACTATTTAACATCTTACCAAAATATATTAGAAGCACTGCTGGGACAAGTGTAGATGTCTTCAAGAGTAAACTGGGCTTGTACATTCAATCTAGTTGTAATAGATATATGGGCCAGCAGGCCGCCAGCAGCAACAACCTGACTGATCAGGCAAGCCCCATGTAAGCATGGCCCAGGGCCAGACTCAGGTAGTAGGAAAACTCATCAAAGGTAAATCAAGGGGATCCTTTTCCGAATCACAAAAAAGACAGCAGCTAAAACTAAACGTGCTGGTTTTCGTATTACCACAAACATAAAAAAAACAAAGAAATAGACAAATATATGGCAATGGTATTATTGCCTATAGAAGAGAATTCGTTAGAGTAGTGGAAAGAAAATACAATAGTTCTTCCATCTTTGGTTAACCTAGCCAGTAAAAAGTTGAGTAAACCCTCATCAGTAGAATGAAATATTGTTCACCAGTTGAGGAGATGCTGATCCTCAACTTCAATTTGAGAATTTTTAATTTTAGCTGTTTGTTTATTTTTAATGTCAGGTATTAGAATAATGTATGTTGTTTTTTGTATATTTTTCAGTGTGTTTCTTCAACTTTTAAAAAACTTTAAACTGTATAATGAAAATGTGGTTGCTAATTCAGTTTAATAAGACAGAGTTGTTATTCAAGTTTCTTTATAAAGCTTCAAGTGAATAGTATAATGAGAGTGTTGGATCTTTTAATTTCATATTTAATGTAAGTGGAAATTATTCAGGATTATTTACTTAACTGATTTCTGATTATGTCTTCACCAGATTATTAAATATGTTGATAGATGCAGAAATAGTACGTTTTCTTTTTTAAATCGTAAGGTTCACGGGAGTGTCTTTACTTAATATTAAACCTCTCTGGTGTGAAAAATTATATACATTTTCCGATATTATAGTGCATAGTTCCATAATGTAATTCAATGAAATGTATTGCTGTTGGTTTCAAATTAATTTGCGAGTGAAACGGGGAACCAGGAGACTAGTGGCGTCCGGGGGAGGAGAGGTTGCCATATTGGAATGGAGGAACAAGACTACATTGTAATTTGTGGGAACTCCTGGGTATTTCCGGAGGCTTATTGGGCTCAGGCCTCCCAAATAGGAGTAAGGCAAATCCTAATTATCGTCCTGCGGAAATTGTGATGACAGAGACTTGGCAGGACTTCGAAAATAGTGGTGGAATTGGGAAATATGGAGGGACACCGGTGAGTTCCCACAGCACACCTATCCCTAAGTACTCTTTACCTTTGTTCAGTAGATTGCGTTGGCCATCGTATTTCTCACTGGCTAGGTGACTTTAGGGTTTGTTCTATGTGTTCTACCGGTGGTCCACATTGGTAAATTAATAACAGGAATTTTGTAAGTTTAAATTATGAAACTATATGCTTGACATCAACTCTATTATACCCCCCCCTTCTTTCAGTTAGTCACAAAAATTATGTACAGTCCACTTTAGATATTAGTGCCAGAATTATTGATTATGTTTTCTTATGTAATGATTAATATTTTAGGTTCCGGTATACGTGTAGAGAGGATTGTGGGTGTCGGAGGGGAGATTCTCCAGAGACCTGGAATCTCCAAAATTCCCACATACCTCAGAGGTGCAACAAAATGTAAGTAATGTTTAGTTACCTTCTAATCAAATTACTTGTAGGAACGCAATCAGAGGTTCATACAGGTAATTTATTTCTCACACCTGGGTTATTTAATACCTAGTGAGAAATAAGCATACTGTTGTATATGATGAAAATAGTTTATAATTTTAAAAATAAAAAAATATTGAAAAAAAATAACAGCATCGGTATCGGCCACAAACTGAGGATCGGTTTCGATATCAGCAAAATTTTTGGACTTGTCCCATCTCTAGTTGCTAGTACACGTCACCTTTGTGACTAGTTCGTATAGGGTTGTGTGTACATGTCACCTCTACGACTTCATCATGTAGGGCTGTGTACATCTCTCCTCTGATAAACTGTGCGTTTATTTCTACTGTTTCACTGAGGTCTCCTCTCCAAATCCTTTATTCTTGCCATAAGAACTGTACATATCATTCAGATCTTAGTTCTCCCGTGTTCCTCAAAACAAATCTTTACCTCAGTAATTTCTTTGGAGCAGCACCTACGTGTTTTTTGCCCCCTCGGGTATGTTTCACTTGTAATAATTTTTTCCTGAGGCCGGGAGTGGTAGTGTAACTACTTATATCCGGGCGTTTGCCAGAGGTAAATAGCTACGCTTCTTGGTTACTAGCTAATTTCCTGGTCACTAACTACCCATCCTAGGTCATGGCTCACTATCCTAGGTCTTAGTACACTACCTGGGTCTTTAGCTCACTATCCTAGGTCACTAGCTACCACTATCCAGGTCAATTTTCTCTTTGAAGATACTTTGACGTGCGGTGTTTTTTGCGAGTTATTTTTTTAAAAACCTGGCTTATTTTTTTCATAACTTTTTGAAGCAAATAGGAAAATTGTTAATTCGCCCAGATTTTTAAACGGATTTTGCTTATGTCAGTTAAAATTATTGATTTTAAACTTTTTTTGTTAGCTCTTCTGAATTTTGGTGATTTAATAAATAGGAGTCCATATATCAAAAAAAAGCTGTATCGAAATTTTTTTCAAAACCCAAAAACCCTTCCCCACACTGAGAATGAAACGTAACGTTGATAATTTTATTGTGCTATTTGTGAACACAATGTTGAATGGATCATAACATTACTGCGGTTTTGACCAAATCATGGTTGATTGTGGTTACCAGTGCACTTTAGGTTATTTATTAAGGGGCCCTAAATTTTGTTTGGAAGAATGCCTGGTTCAAAATGCGGTTTTTGCTGATATCAGACTTTAGGTTTCCATGATCAATGATTATCTTGCATCACAGGGAAATTTTGTTTATATACATTTTTGGTCCCAAAATGGGGTAAAAAATTTTTAAATTTTGGCTTAAATAGCAACGCTCTTCTTGCGAAAAGACGAGCGGAAATTTGTGTATGCAGAAATTTTGAAAAAAATCATTCTAAACCCTAACGGAAATATATATTTCTTTGGTTTGTTTTTTTTTAAAAAAATTATGAAAACCTGTCAAAATAATTTGTTTGTTTTGGCAAAATTTAAATTGCCTTGTTATAGGTTATTTAAGTTTTCTAAGGTTCATTTGGTACAAAATTTTTAAATTTTTTACATTAAAAAAAAAAGAAAAAAAATATATCTGTAAATGTATAAAAAAATTTTTGAAAGGATTAAATTTTAAAAAGGTTCTTGCTAATTGGCCTTATATAATTTTATATATGTCGTGCCCCCAATATGTTAAAATGGTCAAATTAGAAGAATCATTTTTAAAATTATGTCCTTTCTGAAAATTTTTTTCTTATATGTTTAAAAATATATCTTTTTATTAATGTTGTTGTAAAATTTAAATTTTGCACCAAAAGAATTTGAAAAATTACCAACCCTTTTTATAAAAGAACAATT